TGTCCCTTGTCATTTGATATCTTTATTTCTTACACAGAGTAATCCTATTTTCTATGTATAATGTGTCCATATCACTGTGTACCAGATTTCATCTCATCTTCTTTCACATTTTTCTTAATGACCTGCTATTAAATGCTTAATTTTTAGTCTTATTTCTGTAACTGGCCAACTGATGCCATGTCCTAGGTATTCATCTAGTAATTTGTAACTTATAATTCATGTCTCTGTTTCAGTATTTCAATCCGTGCTGGCACTAATTTTAATGATCTTCAAGAAGTTGAAGTGATCGACTTGAATGAGCCTACTGGTTGGGTCCTCATACCACTTAAAGACATTCATGAAAAACCAATAAGGACATTCATGATTCAAATAGCAGTTATTAGCAATCATCAAAATGGAAGAGACACTCATATGCGACAAATTAAGATACACTCTCCGATACAGTGTAGAGGAATTGGAATAGAAGAATTTGGAAACTTTGTGACTGTTGCTTGCCAACAATATAGCTACATAAGATGAATGGATTGAGTTGACAAATGTAAATCGTTTTAACACTTCGCTGACTGAAATATATTGTATTTTGTATTGGTATAGTGCATTTTATTCATTTCCTTCAAGTCTTTTTCATTTTCATAGCTAAGGTAAGTTGAAAGTTTAAGTTACTCCTGCTGCTCATAAGCTATTCTGGTACCCATTGGATAGGAGGCTGAGTGGGCCCCAGACTAGTCCTGGATGTGGTGGCCAAAGGCAGAATTCTGCCTGTAGCTAGTCAAGTGACTGACAGTTATCCTGGATGTAATTTTCATAGGTTCCTCACTGTTGTACTCCATAACTGTTGACCATTCCAGTTCCCATCAGATCTTTGAATGTCCTGGGATAATTTGAACATGACAGCCATACAAACTTTTGAGATGACAGTAACAGTAATACCACTTACTGTGGAACCCTAAGCAAATTCTGTCTTGATAGATCTAAACCTGACATTTTTCTTCATGGTGGTAACTAATGAGCATGTGAAATTTTGTATGGAAATGGACCATAAATATATTTACGAACTATATATGAAACTTTCATACTAACAATTACACGGTGACAATTTGTAGCTTTGAAGTGATATTTGGCATATATGATGTAGATGGACTATATTACTGGAAATTAATATAATTATGAATTAATTTGCATCTGCAGGTGTCCCTGTATAGTTTAAAGCATCTGAAGAAAAGTAGGTATCGTAGGTTACCAATTTTTATGTTACATTAATTTTAGCATACTGTACTGCCACATTTATTTTTGGGACAGTGCAGTACTCAGATTTCCTTTATATTGTTTTTTAGAATATAAAATTCAGCCTGTACATTGTGAATCAACAGAGCTTTCATTTTAGAGATGTGTTAGTGTAAATACTCATTACTCTGATGGTGAAAGCAACAAAGACCTCTGAAATGGTAAACTTCTACCAGAGTACATGGTAATACAACCCAGAAGACATCCATCTTAGTGTAAATACAATCTGTTCGTTGAAATCTATAAATAAGCAATATGAAAAAAGACATTACAGAATGTCACAACTTTAATATTTATTTTTTGTGTAAAACAGCATTCTGTTACATAAGGACATAAAGTTATTACTTTAGTATAACACTTCAAATCTCCACAAATAAGTTAGAAAATGTATATACATTGTAACATTTCTGATTAATTTGAACATTTACCACTGAATGGTGCTAGTGATGTCAGAGTTATCTGGATGCTTTGGATTCCTCAGGTAATGTTGGTGTTTGTGGTAGCGTAAGCAATCCTCAGTCACTTGTGTGTGCAGAAATGCACATAATACACATAGAAACAAAACTATCTGGAAATAGTGAAGGGGAGAACCCACTGTCTGTCTGCTATTGATAACAAAGAATGTAAGAAGTAGACTGATAATAAACACCCATTTAATGCTGAATTTAATATAAGCAAAATTATACAAAACTGCACTTTGGAAGTCTGAAACAGACACTCAACACTAATAAAATACATTACTAATCTTTTATGTTTCAAGACAAAACTTCTTTCTAAAGAATTAACTACTGAAGAGTTTTATGGCTGAGTTCATTTAATCTTAACAGTTGTGAATGAAGTTGAATTAAGTCGGAAATTTCAAAACATACATATAGTCAACAGGTTTAAAAATACAAAATAAAATCCCTACTTGCCTCCATTTTTAATCTTGCATAATCATATAAGTCCTCTTAATTATGTACTTAAAGAATACAAACTATAATGTATAAAACTGCCTTAGGTAAGGCAAGATAAAATGCGTACTTACAAAACAGGAAGATATGAAGAGTGGCAGTCAAGTTAATGTACTATCTCTTTAAAACAGAGTTGTCATTTGAGATTAAATGAACAATGCAAGCCACTGGCTCTGAGTCTTTCCTCTGTAGAACTAAGGTGTTTGGTGAACAGGATTTTAGGTGCTCACATAAAGTGGCCTGGTGTGGCAAAGACCCACGGGTTATATTTGGGAGGTATCAAGTTCAAATCATAGCCAGGTCACCCACTATCCTAACAGGTTTTCTGTGGTTATTCTATTACTTCGGGGGGGGAAGCTGAAAGATACAGGCTATAACCATCTCCTTCCAAATCCATATCTACTCACCATTCATGATAATCCTAGTCAACACTATAATCTGTGCACCATTAAATAATCTGAGATGTATTTAGGTATCCACAGAAACAAATTGGTAATGCACAAGTTTAATCTTAACTTATTAATAAAAAGGGTATGTTTTGTGATTTTTGTCCTGAACAAGCAGCTTTGAGATGGTCTGAATCTCCATCCAAGGAGCCATACTCTCAATCTTATTAAGAATGTACAAAACTTCTGACAGACGAGGCCAAGAATTGAATAAGGCTATAGCACCAAGAAGAATCATATATGTTACCAATGTACATCATTAGGGTTGTATTGGAATTTTGTTTGATATTCTTCCAATGGTGAAAATAATTTGGGAACCAGTGGTGTATGTACTTTCTTATACTCTAGCAGTACTTGAAATTTCTGAGCAACATTACAAACCAAACTGCAAATATGAAAGACACAAGTGCAACAAGTTACATTAGAAGCTACACATTTTTATATAAAAAAGTAATGAAGTTTGTATTAAGCTTTCTCCTTTCGCTGCCAGGTAGTACTGAACCAAAAAAGTACAAATTAAAAATACAAAAATATATACCTTACATTATCTCCTTATCCATTTCATACTTTGAGCATATGCAAATTAAGGTCATTGTATAGTACTGAAAAACATAACTGATCACCTGAATCTGTAACTTATGAAACAATATATTCAGAATCTGACCAATTAACCTGTGTGATCAATCAGTTAGTGATGAAAGAACATAGTTAATCTATACATTTAATTAATTGTATCACTTGATTAATTTCCCCAATTACAAATATTTGGCTCAGTTAATGACCCTTAAGATCTAAAGTTTTTACAGACAGAAAGCATAGTGGTAGTATAACTTAGAAACAGCTTTATACATTTGGTAACAGTTTTATTACTTTTGTTTGATACATCAGAAAGCTGTTAAGCAAAATATGCCTCATATTTCAATGCTGTGGGTTGCTGCTGCATTTTCCATCAACACCAAAGTAGTCTTTGAAGACATAACTGCAATTATGTTCAGTCAGGTAGCGATACAGTTCTCCCATATCCATATGGCATTCCCTTGACTTACTCTGACTACATTCAAATGAAATTTCTTGAAATGCAGAGAACTTGCGAAGGGAATTCACACTTAATGAACTTAAGTTAATTACTTCCTTTTTCTTGCACATTATTTTTTTCCAATTCATGCATTTAACCTGTAAAATGAAAATAGAAACACTAGAATTAACAAGTGATTGCTGTCTTCTGTGTTGTTGCGCCATGTAGTCTGGTAGATGTTTACTGACGTTTCAGAGGTCCTTGCTCATAAAACAAATTAATAACCAATTTACATACCGAGAGGTAAACACACACATATACATACCTTTTGCCACCATTCATTGCAATCTCCAGCCAATCCTTCTGCACAAATTATTCCTGGTTTTCCAGGTAAACAAAATCCTGTAATGCTGAACTCATTTGCAAGATCTAGAATCTCCCTTCTTTTAATTTTGCTATAAATATGATGAGAATAAATCCAGTATCGTGTAAAGAACGTATCACTTTCATCACTAAGATTTACATCTTTCCTGGGTTTTGCAGATTCAACATGGTATCGGGATGCATTTTCCTGCAACCATGATATTGCTGAACATGTGCAAATCTCTCCTCTTTCAAGTGTAGATATATAATTGGCTAAATCACTGTTTAAGATGTGCTGCTGGTTTCGATCCAACTTGTCACTTCGGACATAAATATCTGGTTCACTAGCAGGGTAATCATGAGGCAAATTAATGCACACTTCCAGCTTTGCCTAAAAATGAAAACAGCCAATTATTGTTAACAGTTTTGGACTGTAACACATTTCCAGAACTTTAAAACTCCAGAATTTCTATACTATCTTCAGTTACTCAGCATATTCAGATGTAATATTATTGCAATATAAATACATAGGTATTACTTCCAAATGTAATAATAATTAAAAATAATGAATACTAAAGTTCACATACAATCTCTTAATTAAAAAAAGCCTTACCACAATGTGCCAAGAATATTTGACAGGACACATACTTGTCTGATATTTGAGTGGCCCTTATAACTTCAACTGTGAAAACAAATATTCATGCTTGCCAGTGTAATTGACATTAATAGCAATGGATAAACTTGTATAACACCATTCCCATGTAAACAACAACACATTTATGCTTATAATGGGAGGGGTTGTGTTGGGTGTAATATGCCAGTGGGTCTGTAATAGTGGAAGCACTTATGACAATCATGTTCTTAATCTGCACTACACAAGATATTTACATAACACTATGTGACGTGTAATTCTGCGGAAATGACTGTACTCTGCTTTCCAATATTAAATAAACAAATAGTTAGCTGACACATCAATATCAGAAGCTGGGTGTAATGTCTTAAAAGTCAGTACCTTGTCCTAAACATCAACCAGGATTTTATTGAAGGGCATGCATACTTTCCTCCCTCTGTGAAGCTGCTGATAAATATAAGCTTGTCTAAAGGGCTTGCAGAGGTAAAATCTTCTGTATTAACCTCACCCTAAGATCTATATGAGATCAGTGAATTCATTTTGCTAAACCCTGGTTACGATTTTTCACAAGACATCACCCAAGTTTATTTTCATCATACCTTATCCATGAATAAATTGATGGTAAAGTCTAATCGAGGGGGATAAATCGAACATTTGCCATCAACAAATTCGTTGATATCAGCTATCACACTATAATCATAAACGCAAAATTCTCCTGGATTTGAGAACATGGATTGTAACATTTCCACTTCTGACAATTGTATTCTCAGCATTTCTTCCAGATTTCCATTACCAACAATTTGTGCTATTTGTTCCTCAAGTTCCTTAAAATCCAAATATTCATTATCCTTCCAATCACATGCTGAATTTTCGTCACAATTCATTGTGGCAAGATACATTAAAACGTACGAATTCGCTAACTATTACTGTACACATATGCCGTGAATAGAAACTTAGTACGGCACGTGGATTTGATAAATGACAGTCTTCGGTGCGTAGTTTGCTGCAACCTCTTAAACTCAGATATTATACTTTCCTATTTCCGAAACGCCAATATTATGTTCTTGGCAAAAACTGGTAATTTGAAAGTTCTTCATAATTAAACACAACAGTACTGTTTCATTTTTATTTGGACAAACATTATTTTTTTTCTAAAAAACTCTTTTTTGTAATCAAGACCACAAACTGTCTATACCAAAGAAGACTAGATTGAATTTTCGCAGCACGCAGGGGCGCAGTATCATTGCCAGCATACAGAGTAGTAAACTGCGCCAAACGAACAATAGTATATTACCTTCACGTAATGCTTAGTTTAAGATAATATATTACAGTTTAGTTGACGGTCTTTATCGGGCTTTCGGCACTCCCAAATTCACAAACTTAATTAAACAGTAACCACCTACGTACTAATGGTAATATCACGTTCAGATTAGGGTATGTAGAATTTGAACCATGTTTAGTTTACGGTAGTTGGTGATCTCGGCGCTGCCAATCTCACTCGCTATTGTGCCTTCGTACACGAATTTTACCGAAAATGAAATGCAAGATTGTGCTCCATAAGTCTTTTTACAATAGATTAGCTTACATGATCCTCATCAATCAGGACGTGGAAAAAGTCGTTGTACAAGATAAGATACATAATACCAAAAAATATTCACTGTTCTAAGAAAGAAAAATTAGCGTCATTTGGTTAGTCTTTCAATCGCAGGAAAAAGCGACCATAAATATCATGGCGGAAAGTAAATGGACAATGTGAGCGGGAAAACTTAACCGTTGTGTGTACCATTGGCGACTTGTTTATATAAGATTTTATTTTACCAAGTAGTGACTAGTGAACGTAATTTATCGCAGACCATCGGTGGTGAATTTGTAAAATTGGTACAAGTAGGACAAAGCGAATGAAATAGTCATACCCCATTAAAGCGCCTTTTGCCCACCTCTAATATTGGTGTCAAAGTGGGGTAGTGGTAAATTTAAACCCTTATTTGCCTAGTTTTTTCAGTTTTAGACTACCCAGAAAATGGAGAAATAGTTGGCAATGTTTTGCTGACGTGTACTAGGATCTTGTTCTTGTAGGCACATTTTATTTTCACCAGCACTTAACATTGCCACTCCCCATGTCAAACAAATGGTTGTCATTATACAGTACACATCTGGTGCATACTAACTTTCTTACCGTCACCAGAATTCTTGGAATGTTACCTGTTACTGCACAGCTTATTCTGGGGAATGTGCCCATTACTAAATCAATGATTTTCCAGTAGCAAGCTCATTTACTGTACTGACTTGGATTTGTAATGTTACCATTTAAACTGGTCACCTCTAGTAACAACCCACCTCCATAAACAAGTTTATCTGAGGTTTTATTTATTAGTTCTGAATTTTTGGTGTACAGCATGCTTATATATTGAAAATAATCATAAAAAAAAGATAGGGCACTGTATCACACAAAATTATAATGCTTAAATGGTACATTTGTATTGCCACATAGTGGCTAATGTAAGTAATGTTTTACTGGGGGGATTCTCTTTTAAATTACATATGGAATTTCTATTCCAAAGATTTGATGGGTACAATGTGAGGGTGGCAGTATACAGAGCAGTGCTGTATGAGGTGACTGTATATACAAATCTGTCATAGCATGTTACAACTTGCTCTTCTAGTCTTCTCCCTGAAAGCCAAAGTAATAGACTAAACTTACTGCATCCATTAATGCTTCAGCTTCTGTAACATAAATGAAGATTACATATTCTTACCACTCATGGAAGGATGGTATAAAATTGCAAGATAAAAATCAATAATAGTGTGATTTCTAAAAATGAATTATAAAACTGGTGAACAGTTACACATTTCATATTGATTTGAAATGTTTCTGAAAATAATTTTTTTTTCCCCAACCATCATAACTTTAACCTCAAAAAGAGCAGTTTGACAGTTTCTGACAATGTTGATCATACTCCATTGTAAGACAAGAAAATAATCATTATCATGGGTGTAATTCTCCCAAACTGGTTTGGAAGTTTGATGAGAGGAAGTAGTACGAGATATGACATACTTGCTATGATTCACCTACAAAGAGATACTGCCACAATAATTGTGAATGAGTTTAAAATGAATGTGATATTCAAGAAACTGTGTAGTGAACATTAGGACACATTCTAAAATGGGAAATCTCAAGATGCCTTGGAAGATGTAGTGTGATTGGACTTTCCACAAACTAAGGTAAAGTACACAATATGCTTATTAATAAGAAACTTTTGTTTGGAGTCAACCATTACACTGATGATTTCTGAAAAACTGCATTCTATAACTTTAGATGTCTTTTAATTGATTAAAAATTAAATTATATATTCTTCATTGGAATGGTTGGCCAGCAAACCACACAATTTAAATAAGAAGTATAAAAGGAAAAAAGCATCTTTTCATGTTTCCATACTTTCATCAATTATGGCCAAGAAATTATAGCGCATACTGTACTTAAAACACTGAGGAAGGGGTCAAGGCAAAAGGAATGGGTAGTTGGCAAAATAATCACTTGGGTTATGAGACAAAGTTTTATTGCAAGAAATCAGTCACAACACTCATTCCTGGCTGGCATCAACATTTTCTGTCTGCAATCCTTTAAATGTTGCTACAGGTACATAAGTGACCAAAGTATACAACTTGTTTGGTGAATCTTCATCATCATTCCTTCTCCGGGACAGGCGAACTCGAACACGGAAAGGTACATTCCTAGAAATACAAGATAACAAAATTAAATTTATGGCACAGAACACACAAGATTGTGAGTGTTCCATATGGTCAACTTGTGTAAACTTTTCCTTGGTACAGACTTCAGCGATAGCACTAAGAGCTTTCAACAGCAGGACACTTTTAAGTCATATGGACAGACAATACAATTTGACAACCCTTGTACATTTTGAGGAACAAAAATCAAGCCCTTAAACTCATCATGTTTATTGCTTAATCTGTTTCTAATGAAGATAGTAAACATAAAATCTCATGATGACCCCAAATGTTATATTTTCTATTGGTTTCAACAAAAATGAGCCTGAAATATAATCACAATGTGAAAGTGATTGTTTCCACCATTAATGAAATATTTGAGAACTAGAAAACTTTGTCTCACACACTCATAATCAAACACAAATACTATACTGAGGAAGTTCTCGTATGAATCTACTATGTACTCTACCAAAAAAAGTAATGCAAACCACAAACAGATTCCTACCATGTCCATAAACTTTTTCAAGTATACATTAATCTTCTCTAATACTTTGTTTATAAGATGGATTTTCTAAATGTTCTGTTCCTATGGGAGTGAATTTTGTACTTACAATGCTACAACATAATCCAAAATTAAAATACAGAAAACTTCATAGGTGCTGCTAGTCCTATGGTAATATTCATCTACTAGGTTTGAACATACATACCAAACAGTACTTTTGTTACATTTATCAGTTTTAACACTAAATGTGCTGAATTGCACTGAATGTCTAATAATTACAAACCTGATACCCTTTGACCACACTTGCTTGTTCAATCGGGTATCTACTCGAACATCGGGAGTACCCATCTGTTTCATTGCAAATTTACGAATTTCTTTCACGGCCCGGGGCGCACGTTTCTTGAATCCGACTCCATGAAGTCTTTTGTGCAAATTTATAGTATATTCACGTGTGACTACTTCATTGATAGCTGATTTGTTTTTCTTTTCTCCTTTCGGTTTGACCATTTTTACCTGTAACAAACGAAACGAAACGAATTTGCATACATCCTGAAAGCCCCACGCCACATCAGAGTTACTACATATTTATACACTATTTATAAGGTCTACATTGGGAGAAATAATTGAACAATGAAAGAAACAAATTTTTGTTACGAAATCTACATTTTATCACATATTTAACATTAACATTTTTTAGATGAATATAGATATCAATACCAATTACTTCTATCTGCAGAACAGAAACACCATTTAGACACAGAGATTTTAACTGCACTCTAGTGGTAGAGACGTAAATTACAATCGATTTCCGCTTCCCAGGTATCGATACAAACAGTGTTACGTAGGTGGTGCCGTTGCGGTTTGTATTGTAACTATGTGAGTACGTAATGTGCAAGTAATGTTAATCCGGAGGGTTTTTTACGTAACACATCATAATCGGTGTGGGCAGGGTTCCATTTGTCCTTTCGATGTCCCCCAAACACATGGTACGAAGAAAGACGGCAGATAGGATGCGAACGAAAGCGAAGATTTCGATTTTCCAAATACGTTGACACAGAAACATAATCGAAAGCAAGTCGCCAACTGACTCGAAAAAACACACTCAAAAAAGAAAACTTCTAAAATTGACTCCTTTTTTGCAATGTGTTTTTATGAGAAGGGTTACCCGACATAAAATTATCACATCATCTCACTGGACGACACAGAAAATCCATAGTTGATAACATTATTGTCAAATAACAAATAATTATAAAACGTGTTTGCATTTGTTTATTCAGCGGCTTTTGCGGAAGGCAGAGTGTTAACGTCTCAGCCATTCACATATCCCTTTTTGAGATGAGAGACTGGTGTTGAAAGGGAACTGCAGCGGATCTCTCATGGCAGTACTGAGATCATAATTACCCAATTGCTGCTGAGTTCCTGCTGCTCATACGCTGATTTTATATGTCCGAATGTCAGAAAACCCTCCGGCAGTAGAACCTCGAGGTTAAATGTAGTTAATATTAAAGTTCGCCATTGGGCATGATCCTGATAGAATTTCATCGGTCTGCTTCCTTTTCTCAAAACCTGTTTCTGCAACATCTGTCTTGTGCTATTATCCTATATCCTTACCGCTTTTCTAAGTTTCAACAAATTTCCCTATGCAAATTCGGTAGTTATTTCCTTTTTCTTTTTTTTCTCGTTCGAGCTGCATGACAAGTCTTAGCCCAAACGATATTAGACTAGCTGTGAAACGACCATCATCCTTGCTATGTAATATCCCAAGTTATCTGTCCATTTGATTAATTTCTCTTACGTCTTAATGTTTTCATGAGCTCACATTTTTGAAACGTCTGTTAAGCATGTACTTCCTATCAAGCAAGAGACCATCTATTACAGCCACACAAAATAATTGACAGTATTATTGTTTTGGAAATTGGGTAGCCTAATAAAAATACAAAGTAATTCCTGAATTCGTTCTTGTCTGTCCTAATGCCGTCTACTTCTCCCAGTCTGTCTCGAAACCTAGGCTGATGAGCTGACTTTTGTCATTAATGACTAATCATGATGCGCTTTCTCAGTATCCCGAGAACGCCGTAGTCAAAGGATACGTATGCTGCTTCCATAGGCCTTGGGGTCGAAACCACCCGGCTTCAATGCTAATTTTGAGCTCGTCAGTCAATGTTTACATCTGACAAAAGGAGTTTTTGTGTGTGTGTGAGGAATACTAGGACCCACTTTGAATTGTAGGTCCGCTTTACCAACCGCCACCCTATCTGTGACTTGAGAACAACGGAATGTGTTTAGTGCATGCTCCGACCGACCTCAAAACCGAATGTGTCTGTTCAGTGGTTTGTACTGCTTTGTGCTCGGAAAGCCTTGGGTTAAATTACCGGCTATGAAGCCGGCTATTCAGTTAGAACTTTTCGGGTTTTTTTACTCGTTTACTTTAGGCAATTACTGGTATGATGTCTTAAAATAGACTACGACTGATACTTACAAATTATTATGTACAATGTTATCACAGAAATTGAGAGCTTTACCGCTGTGGCAGCAGCATATGTGGTGTGAAACGAACTACGAACTGCGAATGAAACGAATTGGTTAATTACGTGTGATTATTATTCGGTTAAATATATTAATATTATACGTTATTAATGTTATGTATGTTGGTAAAACAAACTTTTTGGGGGGTTTCAGATCTTTGAACTTTCTCGAGGTGCAGAAATGGCTAGATCAGATTGTGACTACAGGCGTTGCTAACAGCTACAACTTACTGATTTCAAGCTTCCCTGTACGGATAGGAGGTTAGAGATTTAAACTGGGCTGCAATTATTTTATTCCATCACCTTTTCCCAAGCACTATAACACCATATTTCCTTCTAAGTTCACTTCACCATATTTATGTGCTTGATTTGTAATTTAGATAGAGGTAAAGGATATGTTGATGGCGGTACTCTTCTTGCGAGTTGTGATGTCATGTAGATTCGTAGGTAGATACCAACGTTTGGGAGAAATACGCTGTTTCCATCTTCAGGATTGAAGTAGCGGTTCTGGGAAATGAAGAGTTTATAAAGGGATAGACGAAGGTCGAGCTAGGGGAATGGCCCAGGAGAAAGCATGTTTCTCCGAAACGTTGGTCTGTACCTGTTAGATCACACTGAAATTAAACTTTGAACAGCTGCTGGAATAACAAGGAAATTAATTCTATCGTCATTTTCTGAATAGTCTGCCAGGGAAAGGTTGTGAGTTCTAACGGTAGAAATCAGTGCTGCACTAAAATATTAAGCTGCCAAATGCTTCAAAACTACATATTGTTAAGGGGTGATATATTTGTTGTTGTTTTTAGACGATTATTATTATTGCCACTATTTTATTATCATTACGCCCATTATCATTTTTTACTTTTTTAGATAGCAGACTGTAAGACAAAACATTTTAAACTGCAAGGTAGCAGGCGTTCTCCGAATTGCATGTTGAATGAAGCATTACTAAAGGCAATACGCTTCTAATATGTGTTATTTCAACTGAAAACTTAATTTGAGTTTGATGAATGAAGAAAATATAGTAGGAATTTGAAGGAAAGAAAGGTATAACCCTTGATGAACACATATATATGAATGTCAGCCATATAATGTGTGTTAGAGCAATTGCTGACACTGTTGAAAAGTTTAAGAACCCCTGAACTCGTGAAGATTTTTTCCCCTCAGAAGCGTCAATGGACCATTGACAATTGAATGGAGATTCGGTATATCGTTCCGTCTACTTGTCCTTCTATCTGTTTCCCTCCCTATTCTATCTCCTGTGAACGCACTTCCCTTCTACACTGCATCTCGTCTTCTGCCGTTCTATGTCCTTCCGATGACCTCTGGAAGTTTAGAGACTCGGGGGTCATTGAATTTCGACTCTTGTCCTCTATCCAGCCAAACTTTTTTTTTTACTAGGTCTTTCGCGGTGCAATGCCCTCCGAACAATCTTACATAGGCTTACACGCACAAGACATTCACTCACAGGGCTATTGAAACAACCAATTTGGTAACGATTTCCTCCACCAAATAGGATACTGCCGATAACAGGAGAAAGTAATCTCAGAGATAGTAATTATCGGAACAAAATGGCAAAACACAACCGCACAAGAATATTCTTTCCAGGATTAAAGTAAAAAACAGTTCTTTCCCTCCTTGAACATCTCTGTGAACAGCCAGATAATGACACCAACACACAAAAAGTTGTTGACTGTGCTTCACCCTTTGTGTAGCGAAAGTTAAAAAATAGCTTCCAACAAAGCCTCCTATTCAACGATGGCATGAAAGATGTAGCATGCGCTATACCGTTATAAAATTTAGTTGCATTAGAGTAATGCTTATTTCTTGTCCTCTGCCGATATTCAATTCTTTTTCTTTAATTTATTATGAAAGGTGTGCTGTGGCGTTGTGTGCTCCTCTGTCTTCCGTTTCTTAATCACTTTGAACCATCTGAAGGAACTGATATGAATATCAAGCCACCAGAACATATCTCACTGCTGAAGGCTACTTTTTAATTTCTTCGCAATAATAATACCGACATGGTAACCTGCGAACTTAGGTGGGATAACACTATATATTATCTCGAAATGTTGCGTGGTAATAGATCTGCGAAAGATAACACTCTGATGGTTCTTAAGGATCTGATGTAATAATTACGTACGTTAATTAACCACTGAAGACAGGCTTGTGGCGTTTTGCATGGACCACGACACACACTTTAGTTGTATATGAAACTTTTGTTGTGATGTAGTGAACAGACTATTTCATCATACAGACAGAATATTTATATCGTAATTCGTAGGTCTATATGTTGTTCACTATAAGTGATATGAAAATAACGCATTTGATAAGTAACTTATAAAGAATCGTATAACACCTTCACTTAGGCTGGATAGTTATGGGGTTCGAACACCAAATTTGCAGGATACGAGGCACCGCTATACCACACCGTTCAGTGGTGGAAGGAAGTGACACAAATCTACCTTTATCTGCCTGTCGCCTATCCCTACAATATATCACTTGGTTTTGTTTGTTTATTCCTATAAGCCAGCTGCCCTGTCACGAGGCAGTATTTCTGGCGGTGATAATAGGTCGCTGATTAGGAGGGCGGCGGATCGGAAGGAGTTCCATGAGACGAGGGTTGTGGCAGTCGGGGGAAAGACGGGCTACTGGGGGTTGGGGGATATAATCACCCCACCACCAGTCTAAACAAGGGAATGGCAAATGAAAGCCGGCGTCTAACAAGATTTTCAATTGGGTACTGACGGTGGTGAATGGAGCAAGGAATGTGAGACGGAAGAGAGATGAATGGATTATGGTGTATGTTCCCGTATCTATTTATTTTTTACGAGTTTTCATGGAACGCGAAAAAGTTGTGCAAGTTAACGGCAAAGGTGTAGTCGAACCCTGACAAGGCCACCCGCAATATTGGAGTAAAAGCGGGAGAGATAAACTTTTTATTTTCTGTTCTTGGGTCTCTATATTTTTACTTATTAAATTATTAAAGTGCCATATTGTGCGAAATATTGCACTTATGATCTTGAGAGTAAAAGGAGGGCAAACTTGTGGTGTTCATGTCTACACTCAACAACTTCTGCAAGAGGTCCATCATACAATTTATTTTTGGAGCAAAATACATATCAGTTTTTGTATACAAAATTTATTACGCCCATCTGCTATCATCGTCCTGATGATGGATGTAGTAAGGACCTCTAAATTGTTGGTAACATTTACCAGACTATGCGGTGTAACAACCTATAAGACAGTTGTCTTCAAACTTTCCGCTGTGAGAACCTGAAATCTCACACGAATTTAGTAATTTCTTTTGGCCGAAAGTTGGTTTATTTCATCCAGTCCACTC